TTTCAATTCTTCCTATACAAATCTTCTCAACTTTATGCACAGAAGGACTAGTTTATTGCAAAATAATGGAGATAATGTATTTAAAAATCTGTTTAGAGTACACTGACAACTTGTCATATGGAGCTCAAATCTGTGAGACTGGTTGCCTTCTACCTTGATCAGACAATTCACACACAGATCAAAAAACTTCATACTGAGACAGTTGAGTATGCATGGTCCTTCCATACAGATGCCACTCTCATGTCTGAAACACTCTGCCATAGTGTTTTTAGGGACTATCAGAGTCAATCTGCGCCATTCATAAACACTCCCCCTACCCCAAGAATGTAATGTGCAATATTGATAAATCTAGATTGCATTTGGTTCTTATATATGAAAGGCATTTGCTGGGTCCCTCACCATTTTGAAAATATCTGGCTTGAGATCTGGTGAATCCTTGGACAGAAGCCATAGCAAAACCCACTATATTTTCCATTTCTTTTTTGGTTTCTATAGTGTTAGTGAGCACTCAAGGTTGAAGGTCCTCACGTGGCTCATCTCCACATTTTCCTGTTGTTTGGATGATCTGAGCAATGTACTGTGTGTGAAGGCTTGTGTATAAATATGTCTGTGTTCTTGTTTGAGTATGACTGGGTCAAGTGTAGTAAGAGATGAACTATGGCTTAAGTCTTCCCACATCTCAGCTTGTGTGGAGTGAATCTACACAGTATGAGTTCTTTGGTGCTTGGTCAAAGAGGAGCTGTGTGTGAAGGCCTTCCCACAGTCCCTGCACTTGTATGGCTTCTCTCCCGTGTGGGTCCTCCGGTGCTGAGTCAGGTGAGTGCTCTGCTTGAAGCATTTCCCACAATCCTGACATTCATAGGGCTTTTCTCCAGTGTGTGTCCTCTCGTGCTGGCTGAGTGATGAGCTGTGACTGAAGAATTTACCACACTCGTTGCACGCGTAGGGCTTTTCTTTGGTGTGGATTCTCTGGTGTTCTATGAGAAGGGAGCTCTGGCTGAAAGCTCGGCCACACTTGTTACACTCATAGGGCTTCTCTCCTGTGTGGGTCCTCTGATGCTGAATGAGTGAAGCCAGCTGTCTGAAAGCCCTGCCACATTCGTTACACTCATAGGGCTTTTCCCCGGTGTGGATCCGCTGGTGATTGTTTAGGGTTGAGCTGTGGCTGAAAGCCCTACCACAGTCACTGCACTTGTAGGGTTTCTCCCCTGTGTGGACCCTCTGATGTTGAGTGAGGTGTGTGCTGTGCCGGAAGGCCTTCCTGCACTGACTGCACTCATAGGGCTTCTCTCCCGTGTGTGTCCGCTTGTGGTGGCTGAGTGATGAGTTGTGGCTGAAGGTCCTCCCACACTGTATGCACTTATAGGGTTTCTCGCCTGTGTGGATTCTCTGATGTTTGGTAAGTGCAGAGCTGTTTCGGAAGCCTTTTCTGCATTCATGACATTCATAAGGTCTCTCTCCTGTGTGCATCTGCTGGTGTTTGATGAGTGCGGAGCTGTGACTAACGGCCTTCCCGCAATCCTGACATCTGTATGGTTTCTCTTTTACATAGGTTTTCTGATGCATATTTAATTTTGAGTCCGGATTCTTCCTCTTTCTGTGTTCCCTACCTGTGGGAGCCTTGTCTTTCAGGAGTCACGGGTATAGTTGAGAGATCTGGGCTCAGACGTGAGTTTTCCCCAAACCCATTCTCTGGCTGCTGTTCCTAAGCAGATGTCCTCACAGGTGTGAAGGCCATTTGTACAACACAGCAGTCAAGGCTCTCATGACCCTGTTCCCAGGAGTCTGCAGCATCTTCATTGTTAGACCAATACAGACCATCCCACAGGAAGCTTCCTACCAGGACACCGTTGGATTTTTCTTCACAGATGTCCTGTTTTGGAGCTGACAGTTTGGGTTTGGATCTAGTTTCCAAGTCTGAAAGAAACGAAAAGTGGTAGTGTCCCTTAATCCCCATTCTTTAGAAAAAGTTTTTGGTGGATGAAAGAATAAAGCTGACAATTTCCAAAGGTTCAAAGGATGAGTGGCCTTGACTGTGTAACATGGTTTCTGCAAACCAGGAGAGGGAGGGAAGTGCTGAGAGCAGGGGAAGGCAGTTGGTATAAGGGTATGGATGTAGTTGACAAAGGGTGTATGGAGAATGTAGGTGGGAGATGCTGAGGGGAAAGTGGCCTTCAGGGAAATGTGAACAAATGCCCAGGATTGGACGGAGCAGAGTGACGGTCAGACTCCAGCTAATGCAGCCTCCACTATGCCAAGTGGTGACAGAGAAGCTGCCATGTGGGAAGGAGTACTCAGCTCTCCCGTGTTGCCTTCGAGCTACCACCACGACCGCCCCCACTGCCTTAGCCCCTGACCCAGTCAGTCATGAGAGTGTCTCAGCATTCCTGAGACCTGATGGAATGTAAAGCTGATATCAGTAAAGCTCTCTCAGGGAGTGTCCTGGCAGTCCTGGGACCTGATGGAATGATATCGGTCACCTCCCATGTAGGGACTGACACAGTAACAACAAAATGTCCTGGGGCAGTACAGTGATGTATGAAGGCATAGTATTTGTTGGAATACAATGGGAGCTGGTTAATGGTAAACAGCTTTAAGGCATGTAGAAGACGGATTATTGAAAAATAACAGTTTCACTTCCTTGTAAGATCTCAATAAAAGCCATGCGTTGACCCGATTCGGGGCTCAGTCTTCCAGGCTGGGTGCCTTGGTCTCGCTCTTATCTGACTTTTGTCTCTTGTTCTTATTCAATCTGCATTGCCCCTCTTGTGTCCCATTTGCCCTTGCCACACGGGACGTGACACTCCCGTTGCTCAGACCCAGCCTCTTCTTGGTGGCCTCTTGTTATTGTACCACCTCACCTCAGATGTAAAGAAACCCATCAACTGGGAACTGATGTAGTGTCCATCACCAGGATGATGAATAAATGACTGTGGTGGTTTAGATCACTTTGATTTGGTTTATTCTGTCCCTCTAACGGAGAGGCCCCAATGGGTAGTTCTCACTCACAGCGGGACAGTGCTTGGTGAGTGCTCACTAAAAGAACGAGTTGTCAGTTTATTCCGAAGAATCTAAGAGCAGGCACGGAGAGAGAGACTTGGGGGGTGAGTGGGCTCCTCCCAGCCTTGCACCTCTCATCTCACCTGGGCACACACCTTGGGAAACTCCCACGTCCACCACGCATGGCTCTGACTCCTGCTCCAGCAGGGAGATGACGGTTGGCTTCGGGAGCCACTGTCCTGCTTGGGGGAGACCCAGGGAGTGAGCATTTGTGTCCAGCACCCTTTTCAACTCTCCGCCTACTCCACCTTCAGTCTCTCAGGTCCCAAGTGGCTGGGGACCCCAAGAAGCTGCAGTCATACCAGCCTCCAATATTCCTCCCTCTCTTAGTCCCTGTCCTCATCCCTGGCTTTGGGGTGCACATGTGACCCAGGCCATGTGAGCCAGTCAGAGTTCTGTTTCTTCTCCTGGTCACTGGCAACAATTAGCTGTGTGAAGGTCAACTGGTGGTCAAAAGGAGACACCCCAGACACCTTTGATTGGTGGTTAGGACACAGATCCTGTCTTTTCTGCTGGTCATAGACCCTTGTAGCTATCTTGTCATCTTCAGAGGGGCCCATCTAGGACTGGTGGCAGAAAGAGGTGCAGAGTGAGGACAGAGGGGCCTCCTGACTGCTCCACAGGAAGACTCAGGTCTAGCCTGGGGTTTTCCAGTCACGGGACCCAGTATGTCCCTCCTACCCCGTGGTGTCCTGCTTCTGGCATTTTCAGGTGGGTCATGCTACATGCAGGCCAAATATCCTAATTGACATTCCCACAACCACAACAGCCTGGTCCCTGAAGCCAAAGATACATCCAAGGTATTTGCTTTGAAAGCTTAGACCTACCCACACTTTAACTCAAAAGTATTAGAATCCATGGTGGGCCCACAGGTGAGGCCTTACCTACACACACAAGGAGCCCAAAGGTCTCCAGCAACACATCACGGTACAGGGTCCTCTGGGCGGGCTTCAGCTGCCTCCACTCCTCCTGGGTGAAGTCCACGACCACGTCCTCAAAGGTCACTTGCTCCTGAAATATCACACATGAGTGTCGTGTCCTCAGTCAGCCCAACTCTAGCACTAGCTGCTGGTGGGAGCATCTGGTGAACAAAGACAAGGCCAAGCTGTGTAGGAGGGGGTTCTCTCAATTCTGGGGATTTAGGTTAGGTTTTTCTGTGGAGCTGGGGACCTTGCTGGAAGAAATGGGTTCTTAGGACAAAGAGGACACACTTATCTTCCAGCAATTTACCTGCAAAAAAAATCTCTTAAAATGAGAAATGCTGCTGAGTCAATAAAACAGGGAATAATCCTGGGCGTTTTGAGTTCACCAGGATTCATGCCTTCATGGAGGGCCCTTTGGAATGGCAGCTGTGTCTGGGCAGTAGGGGAAAGGAGCATCTAGAAAAATCAGGTTAGATGCCTGCCTTACTCTTGAGGCCAAAGTAACATCCTGATGCGTCCAAGATATGTGCACAATGAATGAAACAAAGCCCTTGAAAAACAGATTTTAAAATATAATCTTGGGGCTGGCTGAGTGGCTCAGTTGGTTAAGAGCTTGCTCAAGAGTGTGAGCTCTGAGCAACAGGGTCACCGGTTCGATTCCCACATGGGCCAGTGAGGTACGACCGAGCTGAGCTGCCGCTGAGCTGCCAAAAGGTGGCAGGATGGCTCAGCTGGTGAGAGCACATGCTCCTAATGACAAGGTTGCCTGTTCAAGATGGTGGGCTATGCCCACCTGCAACTTAAGACTGAACACAGCACCTTGAGCTGAATGGCGCAACTGAACTTGGAGCTGAGTTTGCTGCACCCTCCACAACTAAGATTAAAGGACAACTTGGCTGTTCCCCTCCTCCAATTCCCCAATAAAATCTTTTTATAAACAAACAAACAAACAAATAAATAAATGATCTTGGGCTAGAGATGATCTTCCTAATCATGACACCAAACTCAAATTCTCCCCTCCACTATATTATTTATCTTTTGATGCAAAGCAAATTCCCCCAAAATTAATGTCTTAAAACAGCATCCATTTATCTCATAGTTCTGTAGGTCAGAATATAACACAGTATGGCTAGGTTCTCTGCTCGACTCATGGGGCTAAAATCAAGGTGTCAGTCATATATTGTGTTTTATCCAGAAGCATGGGAAAAATCTGCTTGGGGCCTATGCTGATGCTATTCCCTCTGCCTAGAACATTTTTTCTGCGGGCTTGACATCATTCCCTTGACTCCCACCCTGTGCACATCTCTGCCTGTGGGCCATGTCCTCAGGAAGGTACCCCCATCTGTTCTAGTCAATGCTTAGTCCCCAAGACCATCCTTTTGTAAGCTTTTGTTGCCCTGCATAACACTTGGCATGTTTACATTCCTTGTAGGACCGTAAGCAGCATAGAGGGGGAGATTTGTGCCTGACTCATCTGTTCCTGCCTGCGATTCCTGCAACGGTGCCTGGACCATGGTTTGGTCGTCGCCAGGTGCTCAGTACACATCTGCCAAGCAATGATGAGAATGAGCCTGGGAGTAAAGACCTAGAATTCTGAGTAGAGGAAGTACAAGACTCATCAGTGAAAGGGCTGATCAATGTTGGATAGGGCAGCATGGGGCAGGTGGGGAAGCCAGGAGGCCCTCAGAGTGAGAACTGGAGGAGGATGTGGAGTTGGCTAAAGCACATTCCTGGTAGTGGACAGTGAGGGCAAAGGATTTGAGGTCAGAATGAGCCTGATAGGGACCCAAGGCCAGGGCTCGGGAGACCGGAGTGTAAGGATGGAGGTATACTCACCAGGACCCCAGCATCCAGGAGCCCAGTGGTCATTCCCTCCTCCTCTGGCCTCTTGCATGAACAGCCAGATCCTCTGCACACAGTTCTGGAGGGAAAGGGATGTGAGGGGCTGTGCAGGTGTCTGTGGAGACCAAGCGTCAGAACCCCTACCTGCAGGTGGAGAGCCTCGGCTGCCAGAGCCTGGAGCCCAGCACCCAGGCCAAACCCAACAGTACTCAGCTTCGCATTTCCTGAGCACCTGCTGGGTGCTCAGTGCTATTCCAGCCACTATTGAAGAA